CCAGAGGGCCTCCTTGTCCTCCAAGTCAGGTCCTGCCTTGCACAGAGGAGCCATGAACCGTGAGCCATGGCTCCTCTGTGCTTCTCCTCTCTCTATTGGACCTGGTGTTTCTCTCCCTGTGCTCTCTGCATCATTGCCTGTCCTCTCACTGCCTGAAAAAATATGTTGAATTTAAGAGTTAACCAGTTAAGCAGCCTGTCAATTACACTGACAACATAAGTTAAAGGAACACTCATGTACTACCCATGTCATCAGAAATAGCCTACAGCATGTTTTTTTTCACATTGAGAACTGACTTGTTTTCTAATCTACGCGTCACCAGGCGTTTTTCTTGTCCTTTTTTACCGTGCACGACCAGCGAACACAGAGCGCGCGACTACTACACCCCTCCTCCCACCCCCCCTCCGGGGTCCCCCGTCAGTCGTTCCGCCCGCAACAACTACTATTCTCCCCCCCGTTCCGCCGGCAAGAACACCCCCCCCCCCCCGTCAGTCGTTCCGCCCGCAACGACGACTCGCCCCCCCCCTCTCCCCCCCGCCGGACCTTCTCGACCGGTCCGCGAAATATTGTCTGACATGAAACCGGTCCGTGAGGTAAGAAAGGTCGGGGACCACTGGGCTGATCCACAGCGTGTGTTTACACACCTCCTGGATCCTGATTGGTCGCTGCTGCAGCCGCAAGGCACTGATTGGATGGTCACAGACCGTAATACAGCGCAGATGAACATGATTCAGACTACGGCGTTTATATGTTCAACAATAGGAGACGTAGTCTTAGCTGTTTTAAAATGACACCAAGTTTATTTCGGATTATTCCAACGGAAGAATACAAGGCGCAGGGAACTTAGAGGTGCGTAAACGCTATTTATAGATGCGTAAACGCTATTTCCCAAATTCTAGAGGTGTGTAAACGGCGTTTACGTGCGTTTACCCTCCACTACAGCCCTGGTTAGAATGGTAATGTGACATCTCAGTACTGCAGTGACCTTCCAGCCCTCACAGCTCCCTCTGATCATGTGACACGTGCTTTGTTTTGTGTGTCTGCAGGCTGTCAGGCTGTCTGATCACAGAGGAAGGCTTTGCTTCTCTGGCCTCAGCTCTGAGCTCCAACCCCTCCCATCTGAGAGAGCTGGACCTGAGCTACAATCATCCAGGAGACTCAGGAGTGAAGCTGCTGTCTGCTGGACTAGAGGATCCCCACTGGAGACTGGAGACTCTCAGGTATGAAGAGGCTGCAGCCACAGACCATCAGTCTGGTAGAGGAGGCAGAGCTGGAAACCTTTTCTCTGTCCCACTGTCAGCCTGGTTAATATGACCCTGACACACCAAGCTGACCTCAAACTACCAGAGACTCATCAAACTGTTCGTGTCCCACATGAGACCATCAATACAGACAGAAGTAGTGAGGAACAGTAGCCAGGATGAACCTAAACAGGGAGGAAGGTGATGAAAGGCTTGTTTCTCTGGACCCTTGTCTTGTTTCCTCGTTATAAGAGAGGACAGTGGTGTCTCCTGGCACGTTGACGGCATCATGGTGGGTCGATATGAGTCAACGTTGTCATGCTGCAGGTTTGTGGGCTCTTATCAAACAACACTTGGATGTTTAGATGCTCAAACCAACAGCTGATTGTGGACCTGGTGTGTAAGAGTCCAGGTTTGTTTAGGACTGGACCAAATCTGTAAGGGGACTCGGGCAGTGATCTGTGGCTGCAGACCCACCTGAGCTGTAACATCTTCATCTCCAGACTACAGGTGATAGAAACCAGTGTTGACTGTTGCTAGGAGAGGGGATGTGAACAGCAGTGTTACAGTCAGACCCTTTGTACCTCCAACCACCCCGACCTCCTCCATCAGAGGGTTTGTGGGGCTGTAGTGATTTCATGCTACTTTCTCCTTTACTTTAGAGAGACAACAGTCATTATTACACAAACACAAGAGGTCGCTTCTCAGGACCAAAACATCCAACAGTCAATACTTCTACTGACCACGGATTAGTTGATGTAGTGTGATGGAGATGAACCCACTGACAATAGTCCATCTCTGCAGCTCTACGCAGCTGGTTAGCCTACTTTAGCTCCTAGTTTTGGTTGTGCAGCTCATTTCCTGTTTGGTTCAGTTTCAGTGTTTCCAGCAGCAGCTATTTTCATCCAACAGGCTGTGATGAAGCCACAGTTCACTACCTGCTGAGCAGCAAACAGCAGACAAACTGAGAGACCAGCTGAGGAACATAGAGGAGCATTTAGCAGCTGAAGACACAAATATTCCCCCCAGGAGGTGGTGGAGACCAAAAGCAGAGCTAAAAGAGGGCAAATAGTGGACTTCCATCCATCAGGTGACACAAGACTCCTGATGAACCATCATGTTGATGTGGAAGCAGCTGGTTGACATCATGTTACTTTAGAAGATGATCACATGTCACATGTTGTGTTTACAGCTTGTTTTCACTGAACCACAAGTGGACAAAGAAATCACTTGATGCAGGTTTAAACATTTGATTCAAACTGAGTGTGAAATGGAAGATGATGGTCAGTATAATACTGATAATAACAGATGATGAATAATGAACATCATGAGTTGTGGTCATCAGACAATCAGAAGAAGCTCCACTGCAGAAGATGAAGATGTGGTCCATGTGGACATGAAGGACAAAGCTGTGTGTATGAGAGTGATGTAATGTCCATGTCTCCATGCTGCTCTGACCCCCCCTCCTCCTTTCAGGGTGGAGCCTGCTGGAGTCCGATGGTTGAGACCAGGTCTGAGGAAGTGTAAGTGTGCTTTGAGTTTGATTCATGAAGATTCAACCATCTTCACACTGTGACATCACTCATTCACCTCTTTGATGTCATCATCAAAGTGTCAGTAGATGATCACATGATTAATAACTGCAGCTGTATTGTGTCTTGTTCTCTCATCAGATTCCTGTGAACTCACAATCGACACAAACACAGTAAACAGAAGACTCAAACTGTCTGACAACAACAGGAAGGTGACATGTGAGTGGGAGAAAGAGGATCAGTCATATCCTGATCATCCAGACAGATTTGACCACTGGCCTCAGCTGCTGTGTAGAACTGGTCTGACTGGTCGCTGTTACTGGGAGGTCGAGTGGAGAGGAGACGTTTATGTATCAGTGAGTTACAGAGGAATCAGGAGGAAAGGAGGCAGTGACGACTGTTGGTTTGGGTGGAACGATCAGTCCTGGAGTCTGATGTGCTCTGATAAAGGTTACTATGTCGGTCCCAATGACAGTAACACAGTAACACGCATCACCTCCTTCCCCTCCTCTGGTAGAGTAGCAGTGTATGTGGACTGTCCTGCTGGCTCTCTGTCCTTCTACAGAGTCTCCTCTGACACACTGATCCACCTCCACACCTTCAGCACCACATCCACTGAACCTCTTTATCCTGGGTCTTTCCTCTGGCCCAGTTCTGGTTCCTCAGTGTCTCTGTGTTCTCTGGAGGACGGAGAGTCTCCTCCTGGTGGAGAACCTTCCTCTCTGCTCACCACATAGTTCAGTCTGTACAGGACGTCACACAGCTGATGTAGGTTCATGTGGATGTAGATGCAGGTGGAGCAGGTGAGGGGTACCTGAGCTGGTCTGGACTGGAGATGGAAGTCTGAAAGTGCTCAGCGAGGTGTGTTTTAATGTTGTTGTGCTCGTTGCCTCTGTGGGTGAATTAATAGATCATCATTTAGATATCGGGTCCTAATCAGGATATGATATTTTATAACATGTTCTATAAACTATAAGTACGTCATTGTTGTGCAGGAACTGGTCCTGGCCAGCAGAGGGCGCTCTAACAGAGAAATTTATGTATATGATAAAACCAGCAAATAGGATTAATTTCCAAACATTTATCGCAGTCTGAATATAATAAAGAAAACTACTACTACTAATAATGAACATAAACAAATCCTCTCACTTGTTTTTCCTCTTTTCTCTTTGATTCAATTTGAAGTTGCTCCGGCTTAAATACTAGCTCTTTAGCCGGAGCAACTCTAATGTGCACTTTACAAAGATTATTTTTTCCCATGTCAAACATGATCATTGGTTGTAAACTGTTTCACTGATTTATTTTGTATCCTCACTTTATGAAATAAATATGATCCAGCATCTCCGTCAAAATCCTCCATGTGAACTTTAGACGGATGGTTATTTAAAGTAAAGTTGGATGATAGTTTAAAAAAAACAAAGATTTGAAGGGAATGTAGTCTCTCTATGAATAGAGAGCAGTTTGTGTGTTGAATTCATCTGCAAAGGTTGGTTTCAGGAGGAGGATATCTGACAATATTTCAGAATTTGATGTGAACTTCAAATATAAAGTGAATGGATCGGGTCCAGCTTACATCCAGGACATGGTCAAACCCTACATCCCAACCCGCACTCTCCGCTCTGCATCTGCTAAACTACTCGTCCCTCCCTCACTGAGAGCAAAACACTCGACTAGGTCTCGACTCTTCGCTGTCCTTGCGCCGAAATGGTGGAACGAGCTCTCTGAAGACACCAGGACCGCAGAGAGCCTTCACATCTTCCGCCGCAAACTAAAGACACACCTCTTCAGACTCTACCTCGACTAAAGACTAACAAATTGTAGCACTTAAATTGTACTTGTAACGTCACTCATCTATAGCAAATTGTAAATTGGCTTATTTGAGGAAATTGCACTTTCTTGTTTCTTGTTCTCCTGAGTTTGTACCCTATGGTTGAATGCACTTATTGTACGTCGCTTTGGATAAAAGCGTCAGCTAAATGACATGTAATGTAATGTAATGTAATGTATAATAATTTACAGATTTATCTACTCATTTTGTTTTAACAGATCAAAATTAAGATGATAGACTAAGAAATATACTAAAATACACTATTACTAAACTAAGATAAAAGGAAAAAGTTTTGAGCAATTTAAAAAGAAATCTATTTAAAGAAAATTATTTAAATAAATGAATGTGAGAAAAGGGAAATGTGTGCTGGATTTCAGTGTTTAAATAATCAAAACAAAGGTGAAATGTTGATATTGTAGAAGATAGATTGCCGATCCGTTTTTTAAGACGACTCCCACGTAGACACTTGTTTTAAATGAAGGTGAAGAAGAATTGGTTCACAGCTTCACTGTTTCTTTGTTTTGAAGCTATTTGTCACAGTGAATAAATACTCAGGTACTCAGACACAGAGCTCTGAGGAACACCTGGATTCAGAAACAGAACCGGACTGTGCATTCAGCTACTGTAGCTTTGACATACGCTGTAATATCTTAAGTTAGTTAAATTAGCTTGTATATGCATAAAAGAATGAAAAGGTCTGTGCATAAAAGTTAATACATTTTTCTGATGTTTTTTATTGACTGTATTAAGATTGCAATATTACTTTTATCCAAAAGCTCAGCATCTGCATTTTATGTTTTTACTGTCCAGTGCAGCAAGTTGCTGGTCAATGGGAGCTGATGATATAAACAGGAAGTCCCCCGTCCGCAAATTTAAAAAATATATATGGTAAATAAATATATTTATAATGTCAATGTTAACACAACACTCAAAACAAAATTTTAATATTAAATCTAGAAAATGATTGTCTGTAAAAGCTGCTATATTAATTAATTTGGAAATAGAATCTCTTTATCTGATATCTTTATTTACTATCATTCATTTTAGTAACATATATGTAGTTTCCATTTCTTTTTTTCTTTTTATTTAAATGTTTGAATTAAATTACACGTTTGGCACAACCCAGACTGCATATAAAACAGTTCCATTGAGCATACACGTAGTTTCTGGTAGAAAACATAAGAGAATTAAAATAACAAAATACTGTGGGTTGAATGGCCAACAGTAAAAACAACATCACGACTTGTTCTTCTTTCTGTTTTGAAACATGATCATCACGCAGCGTCGTTTTAATAATCATTGATATTAATGCACAAAAATATAAATCAAACGGTATTTTGCATTAAGAGCATTTCCACACCCACACACATCTTGGACCTCCAGCTCTTTGGTTAACAGTGATAGACGAGCCTGTAACCTACATCACGATAAAAAAATGTGCATTTTTAAAATAAAGCACTTTTCTGCTTTTCTTTACATTCATACGCTTTCCAAATCAAATCTGAAATCAACTGAAAAAAATGTAGGAACACCAAGATTTCTTTGGTAACCTGATCGAGGTTAACGGGCCCAACGAGAGCCGTCCGGCCCTGTGACGTCACGATGACGCGTCGCTCCGGCCCAACCCACCGAGCGCGGCTGCCTGTCTGTCCGCCCCGCAGTCCTTCACAGAGACCGTGCGACCAGCAGCCCACCGGCCCGGTGTGTCAACGGCCACGTATGCTGAGCGTCGAAAACAGACCGACTGCCGACCCGCTGCGGCAAGGTGAGGGCGTTAAATGCACGTCTTAGTGTGGGGGGGGAGGGTTGGTTTGAGATGGGTGAGAACCGGCGGAGGGGAAAAAGGGGGAGAAAGGCTCCAGTTTGGCATCATCGCGTCGGAGGCAGAAAATAACAACGGCCTCGGCCCGTGACAACCGGGAGGACACCGCCTCGGTCCCCGCTGTAACGGCCACGTCGTCTCCTAACGGAACGTCGCTACTCTCCTTGAACAGCCGAAGATGGCAGCTTGTTTTTGCGGTGTGTTTGTTTTGTTATTTAACGCAGCGGCACAAAGGCGGCGCGGCTGTGGGCGGTAACGGTTCGTCACGTCCACCGGGTTCCGTCGTTGTGCACGCGGGGGCCACAGTGAAAATACACGGTTAGTCTGTAAGATTCTTTGTGATTAACCCAACTGGCTCTACGGTGCAAACCAGCGGCCCGCGCCCCGGTGTTGTCATCGCGTGGACCCGAAGTACCGGAGGAGACCACAGCGGCACCAGAGCAACCGTTAGGTTTGACCCAGCGACGCGCTGTCACTTCCGGTTACAGTTAGCAAAATAAAAGCTCGATGTCGTTGGGAAAGGCTTGGATTCATCAAGGATTCGTCAATATGAATACACTACATGTATGAACCTGTGAATCCAAAAAGTGGATAGTTAAGAAGTATTAGGGAACATTAAGTATCAAATACATTTTAAGTGAGGCGCTAGAAAGAAATGAAAGAATTAAAAGAGGAGTAGCTTCAACATTTTGTTAATGTAATTGTCAAAATAGAAATAGGGTTTTTTATGTAGACATTGTACATGTTTGTACATACAAAATGTGAATGAAAAAATGATTCAAAAGAAATGTCTATACATTGATGGCATTTGCAAATATAGTATTTAGGAAAAATTGATATTTTCTTACTCCTTAAAACCCCTGGTTCTGTTTGTCGTGTTCTTTTATCCATATATTAACCATGAATGGATTTGAGTCTCTTAAAGTTATTATTGTCTGCCATACAAGCTTCTTTCTCGTGTATAGTCCTATGTGTTCCTCCTGTATTATGATCGATTTATGCAGCTTGGTGTTGTGAGGTACTTCTCATGCAACGTTGAGTTCGGCTACTCTATTATTTCATGTGAAAAAAGTTAAACCATCATGTTCTTTTATTCAGTGGGGATGCTTTAGGTAAATATTTTGTGTGTAGTGATTGTTCATAGGCACATGGTTGTTTCCTGATATTTATATTGTACATTTCACATCATTATTAGATGACTGCAGCAGTTATTTATTTCTGTGATGATTACTTTGTTTAGTATTTTACATTAGACAGTGTGTTTAGACCTATGTGTCTGTGCTTTTAGAAACATGCTGATAGATGATCTCGGGATGAGAGACATCGATGCAGGGTTCTCCTTCTCTCACTTTACAGCTTTCTTTTGCAGAAACGGTCGCAAGTAATCATTGCAATGCACAGATCCGTTGGTTTGGATTTATAGCGAGCGTGTGTGTGACACTAAAGGTCAGACTCGCGTCCAGATACCGACCAGAAGTCCTCAAACCTGAACCCGTTTCTGCAAAATACAAATTAACGTCTCTACTTTGACCTGATCTGATGTTTGGTGACATTCGGTGATTTCATGTCTCCCTTTAATTTGAAGCTGTCTGACCTCCTGTGCACTAAAATATTAGTAAATTAACTGTTTACTCGAAGACTGAGGCTTTTTAAAAGTTACACTTGAGCCGTAGAATTGCTTAAACACACACAGCTGTTTACCGACGAAAGGAGATGAATGTGGATTCAGCGTGAATCCTCGTCACTGATTTCTCCTGCTCGCCGGTGTGAGGAAGGGGACCCGTGGGTGTCGCGCTCATCGTAACGAGACATAGTCGTGTCCGCCACGCGTGCTTTGTCAAACCGCAGCGCGTCAGGCGACGTGCTCGTTCCCGGCGCTCAGCTGCTCTCCCCCGTTCAGGGAACGTGTCTCTGAATGCGTTATGTAACCGAGGGCTCGCGGAGGCCGATGTTACTGTGTGTTTTGATGTGTGATTTAATCCGTGGTGTGGAGTATCTCCACAGTGTGCGGATATCATGCAGTTCCTATTGTCTGTTATCTCGTTTCCTCCAATAGAACGCCTCAACACTCTTTGTTATCCGTCTTCTTGTGCTTTGCTGGGCTCGTTTTGAAGGTTGTCCAATGTTAAAGGGTTTCATTTTGTTATTATTTTGGGATCTTGTGAAGGCAGGCGAGCCTCCTCCAAAGCATTTTTTTAGTCTAAACTCTATTATGGAGCTACTTGAAACAAAACCACCAATAAGAAATACGCATTCTTAACGATCTTGGAGCTCAGACCATCTCATTCCCACAGGTGGAATTATTGCTTAATATCTGCAGCCGTGTCTCCTCCCAACTTGTGCCCACCGAATAGTGCTGCTCCGCGTCACGGTATTTAGAAAGATTCTCACGGTATCCCGGGATGTGACGCTATTGCTTTTTCAAGTAAACGCGTTAATTCATTGACCCTGAAAAGGGCCGAGGCTACAACATCCTCGCAACTGGCCAAGTTAGCGTGTTAGCTTGTTGTGGCTGCTAATGTTGCCACAAGAGGCTCGACATCTAACAAAACTTTCGTTTGTTGTGTTGTGTTGGTGCATCTCTGGTCTCTGGTTGTTTATCCTGTATCGCTCTTTTGCATTCTTACTTCTTGTTGTGAGCTTTACCCAGCATGCAGTTCGGCGAGGTCATTTCTACAAATCTACAATTATTAGTGTTACATATTGTTTATGTGTCACAAGCTGTTGTGGTGTTTTACCCGGTTAAAGAGTGTTTGTTGTGGGTTATTCATTGTCGGTATGAAGTTATAACCGTGACTCGGTCTCGTCACACGTGAGACAAGTCGCTCCGACCGCTACACTCTTTGCGATGACGTGTTAAAATACTGTCGAAGAGCAACGTCAGTTGTTACGGCGTAAGACCGGTATGAACACCGGTATGAACGGTACGTGAGAAATTCATACCGTGCAGCCCTACCACCAAATATAATTTATTTGCAGGTTAAGTTATCTATAGATCCGTGGGAAAAGGCACGTTTGTTTTAAACGTGGAAAAACAGGTGTTTAATGTAGTGAATTCTTTTGGGTTTGACAGTGTGGTGGAATCAAGTAGTTGTTAAGGCAACATTTCTGTCCGGGGCTTGTCAGAGTGTCGTGAAGGAGTTCCTCAGGGTGCTGCTCGGGGGCCTTTTCTGTTTCCAACCAGAGGAACAGAGGAAAGGCTACAAAATATAGTACATTTTGTTAAATGCTTTCCATTTGTTCTCTTTTAAATCAGCTGAGCTGATGTCCAGCTGCACACTTGACACACGCATGTCCGTATTAGGATTGTTTGTTTATGTTCTGTGGTTGTATAAACAAGCAAACAACATTTTTTAGACATTCAAATATGTAGCTTAAGCTTTAATTGAAATATTAAAATGATGCCTACTAATGCATAAGTAGTGTAGTCTAACTCTGCAAAACAATAACATTAACACATTTAAATATGTTTATTAGTGTTAATGGAGTCAAACCTCTCCACTGTACCACTACGTTACAGATTTAAATGCATTTTGCTGCCTACATGGAACCTACTATTTTTCTTTGTGGTTATTCTTCTCTTCAGTGAATGTTTCTTGCTCCGTGATGACTCAAAGTGCATGACCATAATTCTCGTGTCTGAAATGTGGATGTAGCAGCAGACCTTTTTGGGACTTTTGAGTCGCACATACTGACACAGACACACACACACACACACACAGCTTTTGCCCTCTGGCTTGTTATGGTTCTGTTTCTTTCATGGCAGCAATGCCTCACAGATTTAAAGGGACCCACAATGAGGTGTGTGTGTGTGTGTGTGTGTGTGTGTGTGTGTGTGTGTGTGTGTGTGTGTGTGTGTGTGTGTTCCTGCGCTGTATTTTGGGCACTGAGAGCCGCAGCGACAGCATCAATATGCTGTGGACTTTTCACTGGGCTGAAAAACTGTCTGCTAATACATCACAACCCTAATAGGAATATTTTCGGCGCTTATTAAACATAATTTTAATTAGTTTACGAATATAACATTGTCTATACTTAAGTTATGATAAATTTCCCTCACTAGTTAAAATGAACTAATTATGGTCGACAAACTTAACAACCCAGCAAAGGTGATGCATACTGGACATAATAATGGTACTCAAAGACGCTACATGTGGTACCATACTGTTGGCAAACATCCAGAATGGGACGAACCACGAGGCCAGAAGGTTGTTGGGTCAACAACCCGTTGTTATTGACAAAGACGTTCCGCTTCCTAAAAGCTCTCGTGGTCCCACAAAGATCTCCCTCTCTGTTGGACCCAGACATCAGGCTCCAGTAGTGGTTTCCAAAGGGGATCCTCTCCGGCGTTGGGTTGGTTCGGCGGCCAACCATCTGCAGTCCATCTTGGGGGGGAGGGAGATGATTAGGGAGGCAGAAGTGGAGGAGGAGCGGAGAGGAGCAGGGAGTCAGTAGAAGCATGATGGATCGTGAAAGGGCTGTAAAGAGCTGCTGGGAAACGGAGCCCAGCAGAAGAGGGAGAGTCAGCACAGAAAGCGAGAGATGCATCAAGGCCGGGAGGAAAGAAGCTTTAGAAACTCCACAATGCAGCAGTGTTTAGAGAACACATGTCTGCTTGGGCTGTAAAGAATACTTTGTATCTTTGAAGCTTCAAGCATCATTTTGACATTTTGTAATCTGAATCGCCTTCCAAATGAGTTTTTATTAGCCTTCATACCAACCTGGTTACAGTGATATTAATAATATATGTACTACTGTACTATGTACTAAACTTTCAGTAATAAATCAAATTCAGTAGCAATCTAGCAGCGCCATAAACGCCATAAACACGCCTACAGTAACAGGGCTATTTCTGTGGGTGAAGACGACAGACGTTCAACGCTTAATTCAAAACCCCCAAAAGAAGCTTTCAGCTGACAACAGCGACTGCCTGCCTCCCCCCCTCCCCTCCCACTCCCCTCCCTCCCTCCCTCCCTGCTGCGAGAGGTGTCATCACACCTGTCCGCTGTTACGCAAGCGTCCGTGAGCTGTCGGAGCTCAGCAGAGGAACGTGCTGAGGAGAGGACGACTGTCACTAAGCCGCTGGAGGAAGCTGGGATCAGGGACGCGTGTTTACGTGTGTCCACCGGCCCCCGAGCTGGTGATGTGGAGCGTGACGGAGGTCAGCGGGTTGCTCCCCGTCGGTGGCATGACCCCACATCAGCGTGGTCGTTTGCTCCTGTCTGACGCGGCGCTTTTGAAGAGACGTTTTCAGTGAACTGGAAGCCGCGCAGCTTCGGCGGCAACGAGGACGTCTGACCGGTGAAGTGGGCCGAGGGATCAATAAGGCTTCGCATTTCGCTGTGCCAGCGGTCGGATCACAGCGCAACATTGAGAGCCGCCCGTGGTGCTTCCAGGCTTTCGGTTGAGCGCAGAACAATACAGGGGTATACAGATGTGCATGTGTAGCATACAGTACAGATGCTGAGTCTATCCCCAGCTTCCTGTTTGTTGAGCTGCACACGGCGCCGCTCCCCGTTTAGCTCCCACACTCTGTGACAGGCTTCGTTCGACTCTGCTGAACGTGTGCAACAAACAAAAGCTCGTTCATTCGGTTATCAGCCACACACACACACACACACACACACACATTGAGGCTCTTACTCAACAACCGGACAGCGACAGTCGGTACCACCGGTGCAGCAGACAGACTCTCTGAACGGAGGATACGTGAAAAATGAGTGCGGAGACGGTGGCGTTTCTTCATCATCTTCACCAAATGCACTATGGGTAATCCGAAGCAAGAGGCGGCCAGGTTTCTGTGACTTTTGGCCGGTGTTCTTCGGGTAGTTTTAAGCGGTCGTGCCTCTGTTGCTACAGGCAGCAGGGTGTCTCATTGCTATCAAATAGCAGTATAAACATGCATACCGATTCTTACAGCATCACATTCATCAGAAGAAGACAAGAATAGCAACAAGAAAGAAAAAGATTACACCTTTACTTATTGTTGGCTTTTTCATTTTAAAGGAAAGGAGTTGTACCGACATCGGTATCAGTGGCGGCAGGGACGAGTCACCCCAACAGATACATGTCACTCATATTCTACACAACGATGTAGACTTCTGCAAAAGACACAAGTCACAACTGTGAGTGTGGACTACACCCGTCCTGCTGGTCTCCTTCCCGGTCAGGCTGTGCCTCGTCTCGGGTCCCCCTCCTCCCTCCCCGGCTCAGACTTCTTCCTGGAAGTTTGGCCCTAATGATTATAAGAGGGAGGATGTCCTTTGTTCCCTTTGCCCCTCGGTGTGTATGTTTCATAAAAAGGTCACAATAACGTGGGATTCCCAAAGAACCCGTTCAGGACGTGTTAGTGGAAAACGCTAATTGGCTCCTGCTAGAACCTTCAATGGATCCCTCATTACTGAAAGAAGAAAGAAAATCCCGGTGGCCTTTCTCCTTTTCCCTTCGTGCTGCAGATTCTTTCTGGATTTGTATGACTCGACCATGTTGAACCACTAGTTTGCTCTGCGATCTCTGTGCTAAAACCAGGAGGCCTCAAACCAAAATCCCCCTTGACTTCCCGGGTCCTTTGTGTGTGTGTGGACGTCTTCTTGCAGCACTCTGCTTCACACATTGGTTGATCAGCCGATACTCTAGTAGGAATGTTGATTGGAAGCTACGCCAACAAAAATAATGAGGAAATGTGTCTTCGGTGACACAAGCCTGTTTAGGTAGGAATGCTGTATTGCACCTGGTCAGGTGAGGACAAGAAAAAGACATTTGATTGTCCCTCTTTTGATCCGTTGACCCCGCTATCCGATTTGATCCGCGGGAATCTCTTAACAGCACAGATCTCAGAGCTGTTGTTGTTGGGATTCGTTCTACTAAAGTGAAATGCTCACTGGTGAGGAGCTGACTACTATCATCCTTTTCAATTCTTTATTTAGTGATACGTTTAGGTTTTTGTCTTCGTCCTTTTCAGATAATTTACATAAATTCCTGCCAGTTTATTTGCCTGTTTTAGCATGAAAAAGCGGCCTGTGCAAGAAGCCGTGTCCGCGGTGGATGGACGGTTCCTCTGAGGCGCATAATGGCCTCAATGGTCCCGTTCACGAGTTCCTCTCGTTGGCTTTCTGTGTGAGGGACGGCAGTGAGTGCAGCACCACCCCAGCATGCTGTATACAGCTGTGTGTGTGTATACAGCTGTGTGTGAACGTGTGACATCGGGGTTTTGTTTCCTGTAGGAAAGTGAACCGCGTCTGTCCTTCATTATGAAGACAAACCATAATACAGCATCAGCACCCGGTGTGCTGAACATGGCTGGTCGGTAAAGCTATTCAATCCCATCGGGTTCATCTTTCTGTATGTAAACGAGGTGATGGAGGTCGTGTTGTAATTACCTTCATCAAGACGGAGGTTTCAACTCCATCTGAAAATCTCTTTCTTTAAAAAGCTTCCAGAATCTAATCTGAATCTAACGGCAGCTTCGCTAACATTTCGGAAGTTGATTAAAGTCTTTGGAGGATCAGTCCAACCCAGTTTAGACATTAGTATTCTTCTTCACACACTGGGAGGAATGTTATGTGAGGACCTTTTTAGAGCTGCAAAGGTCGATGGGTCAAGGACGACTACACAATTAGTTTCCAACTATCTTTGTAATTTATTTTTACGTTTTGAGTGACATTTGAGTTCTTCTTTATATTTTCTGATTGGACATGAACATTTTTGTCTTTAATCAAGAAATTGAATGACTTCGTCTCGTGTTTGAGAAACGCTGATGACATTTTTGCACATTTTTTTATACAAGACCAAATAACTCGTCGATAGATTGACAAAATAATGAACGGATTAATAGACAAAGACAGTTGCAGCCTTAGACTTTTTGTACCAGCGAACACAGTGACAATTCCAATGTGTTTTAAAGATGGAATCGTCTCGTCAAACAGACGCGGATTTTCTGTTCACATCACACAAGCGGGCCTGCCGACCCAGATCGCCCCTTAAACCAGTTTCAGGCTCCCCTGTCTGGGATTGACTGCACGGATGATTGACATCGACCGTTAACGTGATGTCATTAATGTCACTCTCCACTGGCAGCAGCCGTCTGACGTAAGATCCATTAAAACGTGGGGAAATGCCCGTCTGAATATGTCACCGCTGCTAGCGTCCGCTGTTCACTGCAGTCCGGTGCGTTTGTGTTGAAGTTGGGTCTCTGACTTCCTCTGTGACGTCATGACATCGGGTATTAAAGCAGCACCACTCCGCTTTTACATGATCAATGCCAAAATCTATAGTAACTGATGATGATGAATATGAACATTTAACATTATTTGTGCAGCACGTTTCAAAACCAAGTGCTGTTCTTGTGAGAATCACTGGTACAGAATTTGAACAAATTAGCACAACAAATGAAATATTGTCAAACTAAATGAGGTAAGAGGAACCAAACAGTTGTAACACGCTATGTTCCATCCTGGAGCTCTGCAGCTAGACCCTTGTGGAAAGATCTGCCCTCTGAAATAAAGCATGAAATGCACATTTTAATTAGAAGGCATCTCGTGCTTCTCATGCCCGAGTTCACACATTCACACGGTGCAGCGGCAGCCCGTCGCTTTGCAGGTGTGAGATGAAGAAGGCTGCCGCCCCCCTGACAGAAGACACCATTCCACTCCTCCATTTGTGAAGAGAGACATCCGAGTTCTTCCTCTGCTCCCACTGGTCAACATTCGTCCTGCAGTCTGCAGGCTCCCTTTTCTTTGTGTTCTCGTTCCACACTAAGGAATGACGAAGCAGTGTCGCTTTGCTTTCTTGTAGCATCTGCATATTTGTATCCATGTGAGTCTGTATTTGTCTTTAATTTAGTTCAATACTACCTTTTTGTCCTGATACTGACACTTTTAATTTCTTTTAAATGTAGCGCTTCTTTTTCTGCTCTAGTCTCAACTACAAGAGTCCAACTTTCATTTGATATTAGCTTTGAATGGAGCTGCTGTATCCGGGATCAGGTTTAGCTAAGCAGGCCTAATAGAGGGATTACTTAGTCTTAGTTTATTCCTTTTTCATTTGAGGTGTGACAAATGATGGGGAGGGAAATTGTTGCGTGCGTGTCTTTTAGGGTGTAACATCCATATGGGGATGAGATCATAGCCCTGTTAAAGTCAGCTGTTTGGTGTGTGTGTGTGTGTGTGTGTGTGTGTGTGTGTGTGTGTGTGTGTGTGACGCACTATGCTCACTGCACAGATGAGACCAAGCTTATTTTGGTCAACTATTTTCACAAAATAACACAAAAACAGAAGACGTGAGGTACAAAGAATGACTGTGATGCCCTCTTTGCCTTTGCTGCCTGTATTTACCGTGGACGTCTCTTTCTGTCCCTCCCTGTTCCTCAGATGTACCACTCTGACCACGGCGTGGACTTCCATGACCTCTCCTTCCGTGTCCCTGGCATCCCTGCCCAGCTGGGTCCGGCACGCAGAGCGTGAACTCCGCTCCCAACCAACAGCACATCCGGCGTCCGCTTCACCCGCACCGGGCCTCCGTCTGCTCCGGGCCATGGACAGCCCCCCTAAGCTGTCGGGCGAGACCCTGATCGTGCACCACATCCCCCTGGTGCACTGCCAGGTGTCCGGCGGGCGGCAGGGTGGCTGCGGGATCTCGCTGAAGAGGGGCAGCCCGTTCATCCCGCCGGAGAACCTGGGCTTGAGTCGCACCACGTCCCTCCCCGAGAGGGACGTCCTCCAGAGGGAGGCGCTGGTCTACAGCAGCCTGATCCAGACCTCCGGCGGCGGGAGGGGAGGCAGCACGGCGAGCGAAGACTCGTCCTTCGCCTCCAGCAATTCTGAGGACCAGCTGATTGCCGCTCACACGCTGCCCAGAGCCAAGCCGAGGAGCAGGAACCCACTGCGCCACAATCCCTTCCTGCTCAACACCGAGGACGAGGACGACGAAGAGGAGGAGGAGGAGGAGGACGGTGACAACCTCAGCGGTTACCTCGAAGACTCCTCCTTTCACCTGCACAGTGACAGAAACTCCGCCCTCGGCGACGGGACGGCTCCCTTCCGCCTCCACGACCTCGACTTCGCCGCCGAGCCCTTCCTGCTGCACAGGTCGGTGGGCGGAAGCCGGCGGGGGTCCCTGAGGGCGGCGGCCTCCGACCTCTCCCACGCCCACCTGGAGGACCTGGACATCCTGGGACTGGACAGCCAGCTGCGCCTCGGCAGCAGCGGCTCCAACATGTCCATGGACTGCGGGGAGCAGGACTGGGCCGAGGAGGACGGGGAGGACGAGGACCACCCCATGAGGTGCGGCCGCAGCTCCTCCGGCTCCTGCTGCGCGCTCTCCCAGGACCTCGCCCGGCACTTCCCCGAGGCCTTCCCGGACTGCCAGCAGGGCTACGGCAGCGACTCCTCCTGCAACAGCTCGGACGGCGTGCTGGTCAACTTCAGCGCCATTTACAACAAGATGAACAACAGCGTCCCGGAGAAGCCGCCGGCCGCCGGGCGCACCAACCTCAACGGCCCCACCGACCGCTGCTGCGCCTCGCCGGTCACCGACCCGCCGGGGAAGCGCGGAGGCTCCACCGAAGGGGCCTTCTATCTGGACCTCCACACCTCGCCGACCGAGCCCCCCCTCCCGCAGCAGCAAGCCTTCCCCCTCCTCCGCGAGCCGCACCTGTCCACCTCCTCCGCCTGCTCGTGCGCCGCGGAGCACCAGGGGGTCCTCGACCTCGACGCCAACTGCAACGCGTACCACCCCCCGCGCTGCGGGTCGGCCGGCGACCTGGCTTCCTGCCTGCAGAGTCAGGCCCGCCTGGTGGTCGCCACGCAGAACTACTACAAGCTGGTCACCTGCGACCTGTCGTCCCAGTCGTCCCCGAGCCCCGCGGGCTCCTCCGTCAACAGCTGCTCCCCCGAGCACAGCAAGGGCAGCCCCACCCCCACCCAGCCCCACGAGTACTTCCTGTTCCGGCAGAGGGCCGACGAGGACGGCCTGGAAGAAGAGGACGAAGATGGAGAGTCGCGTCGGGTGAGTGGAGGATCCTGCCTCGCCAGTTTTAATTACTTACTCACAAAGCAAGACTTTGAAAACCTTTTTCTCACTTCAAAGGAAATCGTAAAGATGATGTTTCCATATCATCATGACATCTTTATTATCAGCCTCACCGAGCTTCACAGCCTTTACTTAGGCACTTTTTATGAAGTCTTCTGTGTAAAATATTATAGTATAAATAATATAAAATTAGTTGTTTGCAATAAAAAAACCTGCAGCACAAAAGTCATGAGAAATGTGCTTATTAAATGCAGCATTTAGTAGAAAAAAAGGTCAGTCGTGTAGAAACATCGACATGTTCTCTCAGTATTTCATTTCTACTCCAGTTCTTTTTTTATCCTAAAACACAAAGCGGGCGGATTCGCATAATGAATCAAGTCAAGGCTGCACATTTAATTCATTTACACAAACAAGTTGAGAGTTCTTTGCTAAGTGATACTAAATACTAAAGGAACGGAAAACAGAGGAGCTCAAAATACCAAGCAGAGAAATTATAAACCGCCTCAGACTCAACCAGGAGCACAATAATGCAAATACATGCTGCATCAATACACACTGAATAGTCTGGAATACATGACAACAAATATATTATATAACTACCAATAATCACAGAGACAATGATCTTTAAATAGCCGCCGTGCTGGTATTAGTCTGGCTCATTTAGATCACAGCCGCTGTCTGCAGTCACCTGATGTTTGAGGATTATTTTAGTCGCGTGGAGCTGAAACACATTAATTGGACATTAATGTGGAGTGAGAGGGGACGGCGTGCAGTAAAGGGCTGCAAATTGTTGTTTAAATAACTATTTTGTTTGGATTTCAACATGGATTTGATGTTCACAACGTAGCTTTGATATTGGGGAAATAGGGCGCACAAGACGCACCATTCAGCACATGTGTTTGTTGTTCCCGTGTAGCGTAAACAAGCTGACAGATGACATCATAAGCATAAAATCTGTACTCTGATACCGCGTCACAACATGTATGTGGGATATGAGACGTGTACGTACAGACCACCACCACCGCTGCATGTCATCGTGTTTGCTGATTGGCCGATGGTCAGCAGGCCAAACGTGGGCCGATCCCGACGTTCTCCCGATCATCATCATCATCATCATCATCAGCAACGCCTCTTCTCTGATCAAATATTTCAGGTCATCTGACTTGTCCGTCTTTCTTCTTCCCCCCTCATTCAGCGGGATGATGACGGTGGTGATGAGGATGACGAAGAAGAAGACGAGGAGGAGGAGGAGGAGAGGAGGAATCAGCAGGCGGCCGTTGGAGGCGACGGCGCCCCTGCTGCGCTCCAAGGCCGGGTCTACGTCAACGTCTCCCCTCCCGTGGTCGGCGGCGGCCTGATCGGAGCCCCCCCGGGAAGCCGCCCCCGCTCCCGCAGCTACGACCGCAACCTGGACAGGTCTCCGCCCCCTCGCCTCGGCTCTCTGGAGCGCATGTTGAGCTGCCCCGTCCGGCTCAGCGAAGGCGCCGCCCCGACCTCGACCCCGACCCCGCCCCCGCCCCCGCGAGTCACCTCCTTCGCCGAGATCGCCAGGAGCAAGCGGAGAAACGGAGGCTCGGGGAGTTCGCCGCCACTGAAGGAGCTGTTCTCCTCCACTTACTCCACCCACTCCCACTCCTCCCTGGACTTCTCTCCCATCCCGGAGCAGCGCCCGGAGGTCGACTGTCACAGCCTGTCGCCTGTGCCCTTCACCAGATGTTACAGCCAAGGCAGCGCCGAGCGACACCTGGAGGGGGCGAGGGAGACCCGGGCCAAGGCTGAAGGTACCTCACCTCCTGCTAGCTGAATAAAGCTCTTATTTCTGGATTATATACTTCTTGCTCTGGTTTGGTCTCTGGTTTGGTTTGGAATACCGCAAGGAAAGTCGTTATTGGGTCACTCAGACTTGAACAAACATCTCCACAATAAACATATTAGTTGGAGTGTTTGCCGTCTGAATATTTGTTACGTTAAGGTCTGGAGTGGGATCCGTCTGCATGTCTTGGTTCTGCGTGTTCAGGGCTTTGTGTGTCTGAGAGAATCCCCCCGTGACGTCGTGTATAGATGTGCAGCAGAGAGCGTTTGGAGGGTTTGAAGTGGGACAAACGTGCTCTGAATAACAATCAGGTGAGCGGGGAGCTGAAGGTGCAAAGAAGCTCTTCGTCTGTATATGGAGCGGATTAGCCGTGTGTGTGTGTGTGTGTGTGTGTGTGTGTGTGTGTGTTGTTTGCCCGACTCGTCCTGAAAGAAAAGAGACGGCTGGCGAAAGTTGCAGAGGCTTCGGCGCTTCGACTTTCAGGATTGAACTCGTTGACTTTGGTAAAAGAATCACGCCTCTAGGATCAGAGGAGTCGCCCCCTGGTGGTCAGTGGAGAGAATGCAGCTGGAATTTTCTCACATACCGTAGAAACTGAGGAGCATGTTTTCACTGTTCATTGTCCTGTTGCCAATAACTCAAAATGGTTCCCAGTGGCAACCTGTTAGCCGTGGTGAGATGAGAACCGACGCCGCGGCCCCCTGAGAAGCGGGAGAGTTTCAGCTGCCCGCTGTGTGCGTCGGGTTAGATGAACACGCAAACTGCGAGTGCTTGGAAGGTTCCCCCCAACCTCCAGCTGTCCCTGTTTACACCTTACAGGAGGGAGCTGAGCATCTTCTCAGGAACCTATCGAGAAGAAAAAATGATCTTTTACAATTTGCTAAATTGTTACTCTGCGTAAAATGGCTTTTTTAAGTTAACAAAACACTTCGACAGTCAAAGCAAACGAAAGGCAACATAATATAACAGTGAAGAGGCAAACTTTAACCGTTCATATCTTAAGAACTCATAAGAAATGTGTTTTTAAGAAGTGATTTAAAAATAAATGATTATTTTTATATATATAGGACCTTTTTCTCATCAGGGCCTGGTAACGTGATACAGTGAATATATGTATCTATAGAAATCCAGATGCTTAACAGCAGCCTCCTGCGGCCGCATGTTTTCACTCCCACAGACAAGAAAGCGATGAGATGGAGGGGAAAGACATTAACACCCCAAAAACCTCCCCTTCAGTTGCTAACGGCGTCTCCATCGGCGTCACCATCCGAGACGATGACGAGAGGCTGAGCAGCTTCTGCGTACATTTCTTATTCATCGGGCTCCAGCGAGCGGCTCCCTCGCTAATGATGCTAACGTGAAGGAAGCGCTGCCCTGCACAGAGCCTCGGCCGCCTACGAGGGGGGAGGAGGCGGGGGACGATGGAGGGGCGGAGGAGAGCGGCGAGGAGAAAATGTCAATCAGAGGAATGACGAAGCAAAAGACACAGAGAGCGAGTGCTTCCATCCTCCACCCCCGGTGGGGGCTGAGGCCTGCAGGGTGTAGAGTGTTCCTCCCTCCTCCTCCCTCCTCCTCCCTTAGCTCGACGTCGCCCTCTGTAGCCGAGAGGCGTCGCTGCACCCGGCTCAGGTGGCCCCCGGTGGGCCGGCCTTTAGAGCGACAAAACAGCTTGCGCAACCGCGTCGATGTCACACACTCTCTGCACTGGATCGACACGCACACACACACACACACACACACACACACAGTAAGACACAAACACACACATACTGACACACTGGCAGGGAAGAAGGATTCTCCCCACCGGGTTCCCTCCCGCCTCCGGCCGTCAGGTTTAGTCCGTGTGTGGTTTTTTTTCTCTCATTGTGTATATGTGTGTGTGTGTGTGTGTTTCTCTGGTGTGTGTGTGTGTGTGTGTGTGTGTGTGTGTGCACATTGGCCTGTCATAGCCGTGTTGATCATGCATAAGGGCTGTCGTGACTCATGACTGGGCACTTTTCCGTGGTTGTATTTCAGTTCTGAGCTCCATGTTCACACAGTTAACGGTGAGTTCATAGTTTATTCACTGCTTCCTGCTTTGGTGAGAATTCTTAGTGGTTTTGGACTTTTGGTTTGGAAGAAACTCAATTTGAAAATGTCAGTTTGGACTTCTTTGTAAACAATGAATGATCATTTGTTTAATCCAAAATAGGTACATTTGGTTTTTTGGAAGGTTTGTCGGCGTCTGAACAAATATATTTGTTGTAGTAAAACTAAGCAGTTCTTCTTCTCTCTTGTCCTCGTCCAGGAGGCCTGTCCACTTCCTCAGAGAGCCGCCCGGCGGTGGTCCGCTACACTAAGGACCAGCGGCCCACCTCCCTGCCCATCCAGCCCTTCACCTTCCACCACCAGTTCGCCTCCAAGCCCCCGCCGCCCAAGCCCCTGCCGCCCGGCTGCGCCTCCGGGATGCAGGGCCGCTCCGGGGAGCCGGTGGGGGAGGACGGAGGAGACGCAGCCGAGCGCGTGCGCGGGTACCGGGGGTCTGCGGCTGCAGCAGCCCCTCCGCCCGCATCGGTCCGCCCCTCGCCTCTCGGGAGCTACTCCCCGGTGCGTCTCCAGGGGGCGCCGAGCTCCGGGACCTGCTCCACCTGCACCCCGAGCCCCCAGCCGGCGCACAGCCTCTCCTGCCCGCTGCGCGCCGCGCCGCCGGCAAAGCGGGGAGGGGCTTCGGCGTCCGTGCCGCCGATGCTTCCCCCGGTGCAGGGGCAGTGCTTCCATCGCGGAGCTCCGCCCACCTTACCGCCTCTAGACAGCGACGCGCTGAGCCCGCTGGGCTGCGTGGAGGGGGGGGACCACGTGGAGGGAGGCAAAGCAGCCAGGACACATTATGGTATGTTCCAAATGTGCGTTGATATTTACTAGTAACGTGGTTTGATCCGAAGCTTGTTGAAAAAAATAATTACACATATATGAAAGGCTTATTTAGTCAGATTTCAGTTCCATTTTCTTTTCTAAGTGAGAAATAGTGAAATACAGAATTTTTACCCATCAACGTCGCCATAAAAATTACATTTTTGTTGTTTCTTCACCTTTTTTTTCTTCCAACCTCACGACAGCGTTCGTCCTTCCTACTTTGTTCTTCTTTATCGCGTCACCTTTTCCGCCATCGGCCTCTCGATGGATCGCTCGTGGTTACTTACAAGCTGTTCTTCTACGTGCAGGACGGTTACCGGTTACCGATAACCGGCCCGTTTATAACTCGGTGTTGATTACCTGAAGCCTTTGTACGTTCTTACAGTTGTTCTTTCTTCTCTCCCTTCATGCATGCACTCGTGCCTCCTCCTCCCCCCTTTCTCCCTACCTTCTTCTCCCTCTTCCTTCCTCCCTTTATATCTCCCTTCCATCCCGTCCTGTAACCCACGACCCCTCTGATCACGGCCATAACACCCCCACCTTCCCTCAGCGCACCACCTCTCCCCCCAGGCTCTCAAATGGAGGGAGTACCGCCGTCGGAACCCTCTGGGGCTGGAGCGGTCCTCGGGGGGGGGCCACGCTTCCGCCGGATCGGGCTCCCTCTCCGGTAACCCGGAGCCCAGAAGGGGCGGGGGTCCGCGACCCGCCAGACGGAACGTGTTCGATTTCCCTTCAGCGCCCTCCGGCCCCCCGCCGGGACGCCTCAACGGTGCTCATGATTTTACTGACGAGTGTTGGGGGGGAGGATGGGGGGGCGGAATACGTGGTATATGGGGTGGCCCCCAACAACCTGCCGTGCTCTTAGAGGGGGAGGGGGGGGGGTGTTGTGCGTTGCTGTGTGCGCTGACCCTCGGTGTCTGTGTGTCTCAGCGGGGGCCCAGTCGGCGAAGCTGCAGCAGATCTACAGCGACTTCCTGCCGGACTACTTCTCCCTGACCGAGAGGCCTCCGGAGGAGTTCTGCCTCTCCCCCGACGCGTCGACCTCCTCCTCCCCCTGCGGCTCCTCCCCCCACATCTCTGTGGACATGACGCAGAAGAGAGGTAGGTGTGTGTGTGTGTGTGTGTGTGAGCTTTTAAGGCACTCAGGAACATAACATCTTTGTTTTGTTAAATTTAGAGAAAACCGAAAACTAGTTCCAAATATAGTCCCTATTTCAAAGAGGTTCTGCTTCCCCGGTCGGATGTCCGGTCCCGGATGAGAGTGACTTCACTTCAACGACAGCATCTGCACTGGTTGGAGAGGAATCATTGCGAAGCGTTTGGTTATATAATTGATATTCAAACAGCATCATGTGGTAGTTTCTGAAAACAAATCATCTGACCTCTTGTTTCTGAGGCGGATGCAGGTGCTCCGTTGTCATGGAGACGATAACACGCCATGTGGCGGTGATGAGAGGCAGCACGGGGAAAAGATGTTTTTGAAAGGTGCTTAAGAGCCTCTCAGTACACGAGGACCACAAAGACGGGTAGAGGGGGGGGGGCGTATAATAAGAAAAGAGGTTGTGTCTCAGCGGGATCCTCCGGGTTCACATCCCCAAGGAGCTCGTGTCCTGTCCATTAGCGTGAGATTAACACTCCGTGTGCCTCAGAAGGCTATCGATCAATGGATCGAATATTCTCAAAGAAAGGAAGACTCTTGGATCAAGTGTCATTCGCTGCAAAGGATGATCAACAAGCGGTCTCTGTTTCCTCTCCTCCTCCAACCCTCCCAGGTTTGGTGAAAGCCGTGAACACGGCAGTGGATCTGATCGTGGCTCATTTCAGCACCAGTCGAGACGCAGATGTGAAGGTAGGAGTTCCACTTCATCCGTTTGATGATGACTACTGATGAAGTAGGTTTAGGATTCTCTGGACACTCAGGACACTCAGTCTTCTCATCAGAAAGAATTACATTAATAAAATCGATAAAAAAAATTAAAAAAAGATAGAAGATTTAATTCTCTTATTTCTTGTCTCCACCAACGACTTCAATCAGCAGACTGATTTTTTTTTGCAAGTCAATAAGAACAAAAGGGCAGACAATTACCATTCCAGCCGCTCACCAGTGATCCAGTGACAGGAGACTTTTCTTTATGACACTCACAGGTTATAAAATAGTAACTCTGGCAAACAAAAAGGACTAAAAGTTTGTATTCTTGAGTCCTTGATCCCCCGATTAGTCCCTAATGCTTCTCTGCACCGCTGCCAGGCCAAGCTGGGGAACAGCTGGGTGAGCCCCAACGTGGGTCACCTCATCCTGAAGTACCTGTGCCCGGCCCTGCGCGAGGTGCTGCAGGACGGCCTGAAGGCCTACGTGCTGGACCTGATCATCGGACAGCGCCGCTGTCAGCCCTGGAGCCTGGTGGAGGCCTCCACGCAGCTGGGTGAGCGCTTCACGCTGAGGAGGGGGGGGTCAGAACGAGGTGCTCGAGAGGGGGGGGGGATCCGTAAGTGACGGTGCTTTCTTTGCGCTTGCCTCCGTCAGGTCCGTCCACTCGTGTCCTCCACAGCCTCTTCTCAAAGGTGAGCCAGTTCTCGGAGCTCACCAGCCACAGCATGAGACTCAACGCCTTCATCTTCGGTCTGCTCAAGTGAGTCCTCTTCTGCTCTTTGATCACAACGGTAACGCTACGTTAAATGATATTGCCGTGTTGGTTTAGTCATGATTTAAGTTTATTATGATTGAAGAGGACTTTTCTTCTGCTTACGTTTCAGCTTAAAATGTTTGGAGTTCTGGTTCAATCACCTGTACACGCATGAAGGTGAGACTCGGTCGGCGTCACTTCTCCATCAACAGACGTGTTTGTTCGTCCACGCGCGCGTGACGTCTCGCTCCCTCTTGTCTGCTTCCTCCCCCCTCAGACATCGTAGCGGCACACTGCCACCCGTGGGGTTTCCTCCCCCTGTCGCAGGGGGCGTGCCGGCCGCTCTTCGAGGAGCTCCTCCTCCTGCTGCAGCCGCTGTCGCTCCTTCCGTTTGACCTGGACCTGCTGTTCGAGCCGCACCTCCTCCAGAAGGGCCAGGAGCACCTCCGCCGCAAGGAGCAGCTGTGCTCCGCCGGCCAGAGCGTCGACCAGGCCACCCGCTCCACCTTCCAGCTCATGCGGGGGTGGAGCGCCACCGTGAGCGAGATGGTCCGGGACTCCGGCGCCGAGGCGAGGAGAGAGAGGCCGGGGCTGAGGCGCGAGGGGACGTGGCCGAGGATGGAAGGCGTCGGCTCGAGGACGGAGGGAGCGGCGCTGCGGTTGAGGAGCGAGGGGGCGGCGGCGGCCGAGAGCGCGATGGAGGTCGGCTTTGCCAACCTGTGGAAGGAGAGGGGGGTGAGCGGGAGGAGGATGAAAGGCGTGGGACAGGAGAGCCAAGGAGACGGCGAGGATGGGCAGCAGAAGGACGGGAGGAAGGAGAAAGGGAAGGACGCGGCGGAGGAGGGGCGCCAGCGGCAGGAGCGACAGGCGGGCTGGTGGTACCAGCTCATGCAGTCCTCCCAGGTTTACATCGACCAATCGGCAGAGGGCTCAAAGTTTGTGAAGACGGAGAAAAGGAGGAAGTCGTCGGAGAGGCGACCGAACCAGCCGCCGCCCACCAGGGAGGGCGTGGTGGAGGGGGCGGAGTCTAGGCAAGAAGGGGAGGGGCAGGGCAGTGGGAAAAGCAGCAGCAGCAGCAGCTCCGGCGGGGAGCCAGCGGGAGGCAGGGGGAGGCCGTCATGGATGGGCAGCCCGCCAGATTCTGTCCTCAACCAGGAGAGAGAGGCTAAGCCCCCCGAGGCGGCAGCCCACGAGGACAGCCCCTCACAGGGACAGGGGCGGCGCTGGGGCCGGCTCTTTGGATCCAGCGTCGGTTCTCCTTCGAAGGCGGAGCCAGCTGAACAGAAGGCCCGAGCTCAGAAGACCAGGTGAGAAAGATTTGTCTTATTGACAACTAACCTACTAACAAGTGGTAGAATCCAGAATCCCTCACTGATTTACGTCTCCAGGAGGAACCAGGCGCCGACCTGCAGGGCTTAAAAGTGAAGCCGAGAAGTGTTTTAAAGCTGCATTCTGTGTAGTGACCAGCAGGGGGCGACTCCTCTGGTCCTATAGACGTCTCTACTTCTCTCTTGATTTACTCCCTCAGTAAAAATTGTAAATGTGAGGTTATGGTCTCAACCTCTAGTTTCAAGTTTCAATACCTCATGATGTTCATTTAGTAAATGATGGTATATTTAGGCGGCTTTCCGTCTTTCAACTTTGACACTTTCAAAGTGTGTTTTTAGTTCAGGAAAATAAATACAATCTGGTTGTTCATCCTCTCGTGTCCCTTATGGTCGCCAAAAACAGACAATAAACCGAGGCCTGAGCACCTCCCCGCATTCTTTTTATTTATTTTTTTGTGGCAAATATGAAATCAACAACCAAGTCTCCTGACCTGTCGCTGCATTTTCGTTCCCCTCTCAGGCCGCCGTCTGGGTGGCTCTCTCTGGACCGGACCGTCCTCGACCTCGTGGCTCAGACCATCGGGGCAGGAGGCGCGAAGAAGGCGGAGCCTCCGGCAGCGCCTGTCCGCCCACAAACCACGCCTCCACCCACGACAACCCAACCGACTGAAGCCAGACAGCAGTCTCCATGGTAACGCACTGTTCTGTTCCTCCAGGAGAGATCCATGAGAATCGCATGTAACATCAGGCTTCAGTCCGCTCGCCTTTAATTCAGTTTAAGCTCCTGGAGTCTCATGTTCTTTTCTTTTTTACTTTGGTGAAAGTAAAATTCATAAAAATAAAATAAAAAATGTATTTCTGAGTATATTAAATAAAATAAAAAGTATTTTTAATACAAAAGGTCAGAATGATATTTCTGTTAACAGGATGAATTAATGGAACAGCACATTCATTAGAGATGATCAGAATGTTGACTAAAAAAAATAGAAGTTTGCATACGTTTTACTTTTGATTCTAAATATATATTTTTTTATATTAATTGAGTGAATTATTTATTCTTCAGAACAGAGAAATTATCCATAACGTCCGACTTTCGTTTGTTGTGTCGAACCAACGGTCCAAGATGTTCACATTATCATCACATGAGAACCAGCAGCAAATCTTCATCACTGAGAACTGTCCTCGCGTCCCTCACGCACGCCGCTCTGTGTCCCCCTTCAGCGACGTGCGAGCGCTGTGTCACCACATCGCCACCGAGCCCGGCCAGCTGAGCTTCAACAAGGGCGACGCCCTGCGGGTCCTGGGGAGGGCCGACGCCGACTGGCTGCTGTGCTCGCTGGGCTCCGTCCGGGGCCTGGTCCCCATCGTCTACGTCACCCTGGGAAGCATGGAGGACAGCCAGGACGCCGCTGGGCTCGGACAGCGCTGAAGGGCGGGAGGACGCGACGCGACGGGAGGCGGAGGCGAACCGATGAAGCAAAAAACCAAAAGAATACGATTTTTGAGCTGGTGGCACGTTTGAAGGGAAAACGTTGTAAATTATTTAATGATGCTGTACGGAGGCGTGCGAGGGAAGCATGCAGGCAGGAACACTAACTGACTTCAAGACGGACACGTATGCATGCATACATCCCACACTACCCAAAGCTGCTCCCCCGCCATGCCAGCTTCTCCCCGTGACCGCCATCGGCCTCCCCCCTCGCCAGCGCCTGTGGTGACGTAGCATCACCACCAGGTGGTGACGTAGCATCTCTGCTTCTCGTCCTGTTGCTTACTTGGTGCAGATTGATCTTCTAAATTCACGTAGATAAAGCAGTGACTCCTTTGCTGTTTTTGGTGAGTTGTAAAAGAAAACTGTATCTACGAGACGTAGTGTATTATTATTATTATTATGATTCACTTTGTTATTAGTGGGACAGTAGAAGAATCCCCACAGGAGCTCGTTGGAAGGTTGTTTTAAGTTCACCTCTAATCTCTAAAGTCTGTTTGTATGAAGACAAAAGTGACAAAAAAACAGGCAGACATGGTTAAAGTTACTGGAAGGAACTTTTAACTGGTTCTGAACCAGTCTCAGTTTGGTCCTGGTCTTCTACGTGAACCAGTCTCAGTGTAGTCCTGGTCTTCTATGACCTCCCATCAGTAGATGCGACGTGAACCAGAACCAGGGCAGAGAGGGGCTGACTGTCCGTAGAATGAGAGGTTTTCTAAAGGGACCCTGGTGGTAGCAGACACTACCACTTTAGTCCACAAGGGGCGCCAGAATCAATAGAAATAAAAGTTCCTCATAGTATCTTAACGAGAACACACAAACCTTTTAGCAGTCTGAGGTGTGCACGTGCATCCGACCTGATGGCACATGTGGCCACAGCTATTAACACCTGGAAGACGTCCAATGGAAGCGTAGCGCCGTGCGGAGGCCTTTCTGAGTGTGTCGGGTCTCGTTACTGCTAATTACTGATATGCATTTAGAATCGTATCTATGCCTTAGATTTCCTAAAGGAGAAAAAAGGGAGAATAGCCGCGTCGGACACCTTTAAGGCGAGTGACCTAAGATTTGTCCAGACATTATATTTTGTATGAAGTGTTCATGGCGACCGAGTCTCGCTGTCTCTGAGGACAAAGAGGTGATATTTTTGTTCTTGTTTAAAGGGAAACCCCAACACAAGGTGTGTCAGTGTGTACTTCCTGCCTAACCAGGTGTAAAACGTGGCCTTAGCTTCCAAAGGACACAAAGTACGGCTATAAACATAAAACCTGGATATATGAGAGATGCCCGGTCCAAATACTTCACGTTATATAACGGTCAAATCAGTGTGCATTCATTGTCCACACATGAATATCATTTAGCAAGTTTCCTTTTGTAGCATTACTGTACAGCTCTTTTCATGTGTCGTTATCCACATTTCAGCAATGTCATTGAACTGTAAATATATTTAAATCCTGCAGAGCTCCATGTATGAATGTTAATACAGACCCCCCCCCCCCTGCCTGTAAATACCTTCAGTATCCACAGCTCTTCTCTCTGTGTGTCTACGGCTATAAGACGTGTACGTATGACGATGTCAAACTACTATGGATGTTAAATAACAAAGTGATCACAAACTCAAACGGCCCCTGTGTCTTTTTTTTAACGTAGAAGGAGTTTTAACAAAAGTGGATCCACTCTTCCTCTCAGCATCTCCTCATCGGTCGACTCGACGAAGGCAAAGTGGTGATTTCTGATTCCTGATCGGCCTCTAAATTCTTCTGTTACACCCGGTTTGACAATTTTTATAAAATTTTATTAATTGATTGATTTTATAAAAATAAAATCTAATACAAAATGAAGTTACAATAACGAGAACCAGAATAGTGCTGCACAGAAAGACCTTTTTCTCTAGTGTTAAATCCTCCAAACAGCAATCAGTGAAGTAAAACTAATATTAAACATACCGATCTCTTACTGCAGTTCAGTAATATTAACTGAAAGAAGATAAACTGCTGTTTAACATTATACAAATACCATTGCATGGAGGAGGACGTTCAAAGAGCTGGATCGGTTTGCTGAGCGGTGCTCGGGGTGATGCAGGTCTGGACGTGACGGGATTCGTGGTATTATCGAGTCGTATGTCATCTTCAGATCCATCCTACGGCCAACAGTATGTGCACACGTGTGCGTTACCAGCGTGTGTGTCAGTAGAACTCGTGCTTCTTAAACTACACAGTCCATTTTTCAGTTATGTTTACCAAAACCAACACAAAATGTGCTTAAAAATGTCCAAATACACGCCGTGATATTCAGCGTTACCTCCCGTGACACTAATGAATTCTGCCTTGTTTCATTTCCTGTTTTATTTGGTATTCTGATTACTTCCGGTCTTTGTTCATTCATTCATCCCTCCCCTTCAGTCTCATCACTATTTAAACCCCAGCTGTTTGTCCGCCCGCTGCCCGAAGTTTAGATTATCTAGATGATTATTGCTGCATTAATGTGTCCGATGCATAATAACTGTACTGATGCACTGAGATGAAATCAAGCCGGTTTACGAGAACTTCCTCAGCTCAGACTCCACCTGGCGCTCAGACGCATTTCCACTGCCAGCATCAACACAACAGGTTCAGTTCCAACTTTGGGTCAGATTTTTAATGCAGTACCTTACTGGTGCAAAACATTCATTATAATATGTTACATTTGAAGGTGGATGAAGAATAAAAGTGAATGTCATTTTTATGTCAACTTATAGAAATCATGTTTATCGTGTTTATTTCTGAAAATACATTTTCGTGAACCCAAACCGTGACAGTGCGTGTGCTCATGCTTGTTTTTTTTAACAAGAATAATCTGAAATGACAGTAAAGACAATCGTACGGAGTCCATAGAGGCCTGAAGTTTATGCTGTTTCATTCATGGCTGTAAAAATCGTAGCAGAGTGAGTTATTATTTTGATTACTGAGTTGTTGTCCAATAGGCATCACATGAAGATGTTTATCAACCTAAACAAATCAAACGTAAAAACAGAAGCCAGCATCAAAATAAAGAAAAAGAAGAGCATGTGTGATTTACTTATTTTTACTCCTAACAGATTGAACAGTGTCGTCGACAAAGAATGACGTACGGCCTTAAGATTCAGAAGGAAACAATGCTTTATTTTTAAAAAAGTCCACATTTGTCCAGGTTGCCTGAGTAGTTAATAAAGTTAAGAGAGAGAGAACTGTTACAAACTTTCATATTCTTTGGTTTTTAAAACTGAAATATCTTTAAAAATATATACAAAAATCATTCAGGAATAATTCTATAAATATACTGGTAGAATAGATTAAGCTCTCTTTAGTCATAGGACTCTATAATTTATCGGTTTGATCCCGTTCTCCTCCTCCCTGACCCGCACTGGTCCTCTCTGGCTGCATTTGGGGCTGAAGGGGTCAAAGGTCGCTGTGGTGTTCACTTCTGCTTCACGTTGTAGCAGCGTCTTCCCTGTAGACACACAAAAAACATTTTAGAAACTAAAGCCAATCGCGTCTTCCCTGTTTCAAAGTGAGGCTCTACATTCAGCTCCTTTCCCAATTCATCTCCGGAAGGGTTGTTAGTTACCTTGTTGTAGCGTTAGTTCTTTGGTTGTGGCATTAGTTACCTTGTTATCGGGTTAGCTATCTTGTTATAGCGTTAGTTACCTTGTTATAGCGTTAGTTACCTTGTTATAGCGTTAATTACCATGTTATAGCGTTAGTTACCTTGTTATAGCGTTAGTTACTTTTTAGTAGCGTTAGTTACTTTGTTATAGCGTTAGTTACCTTGTTATTGGGTTAGCTACCTTGTTATAGCGTTAGTTACCTTGTTATAGCGTTAGCTAGCTTGTTATTGGGTTAGCTACCTTGTTATAGCGTTACTTACCATGTTATAGTGTTAGTTACCTTGTTATGGCGTTAGTTACTTTTTAGTGGCGTTAGTTACCTTGTTATAGTGTTAGTTACTTCCTGGCGTTAGTTACCTTGTTGTAGCATTAGTTACATTGTTGTAGCGTTAGCTAGCTTGTTATAGCGTTAGTTATCTTGTTATAGCGTTACTTACCATGTTATAGTGTTAGTTACCTTGTTATGGCGTTAGTTACTTTTTAGTAGCGTTAGTTACCTTGTTATAGTGTTAGTTACTTTTTAGTGGCGTTAGTTACCTTGTTGTAGCGTTATTTACCTTGTTGTAGCGTTAGTTACATTGTTGTAGAATTAGTTACATTGTTGTAGCGTTAGTTACATGGTAATGACGTTAGTTACTTAGTAGTGGCGTTAGTCACATGGTAGTGGTGTTAGTTACCTTGTACTGGTGTCTCTTGCAGTGTTCCTTCAGGGCGACCACGTGCTTCACCACTTCTTTGACCCACGGCTCGTCGGCGGGAACGCAGAGATTCTTCTTACGTCTGGTCATCAAGCTGCAAGAACACCAACATCATCCGGGTCAGAGATACCAAACACCTTTTTACACGGTTTGTAATGTGTTTGTGCTTCCTGAGTCACACAGACACACACACGCTCACACCACTTGAACTTACACCATGGCGTCCATCGCGCAGCCTTGTCCGCCGATCTGCAGAAAGTAGTTGACAACACGTTGTTTGGCGATCGTATTGTTTCCGACCCTCAAGCAGCAGTCCATGGGAATCTGGGAGAACGTCACTGAAACACGGAGGAGATGGGTTCAGCTTTAAGGGACACCGACAAAAGGTTTAAGTGTCATTACGTTCATGAATAGACATCACTTTAAGTTTTACTTCATTTAGAAGCACCCATCCATCCTTCATGACTGTTTTTTAAAGAAACCAGTTATGTCTATTATAGTGAGGATAACAATGAAATGGAAATATGAAGAAAAAAAAAGGAAAAGGAAATTCAACCTACAATAAGAAAGAAAGGGGTGGGTATCTATAAGCTTTTGCTTCCCCCTACTCCTTTTCCTGAACAAAAGGTGTATTTTCTTATTTTGTGGTCTACGTCTATGTTGATTTTTAAATTTTTTATTATTTGGTGTCTACATGTTCAAGAAATAAAATTCTTCAAATCAAATCAAAATCAAATCAAAATAAATTACAGAAACAATCTCTAGGCATGGATCTTGACTTCATAAAACACTCAAGTGAAAAAAAGCACAGTACAATAAATGAATGCATGGGGGGGTCTGCAGTGAAGAATCTTGTTCAAGAGCAACTTATCACTCGGCGGCATGCAGAGACTACTACACATAGCGGCGTGTCATCATCACAATAACTGTTGCCTCACCGGCTTTCGCCACGTGACTTCCAGCATTAATCTTTAACCCACTACAGAGGAGCCAAGGTGAGGAACTCGTTTAAGGGCAAATCTGGATCAAAGGTCTAATGCTTTTACGGACTAATAGCGGTTTTCACACAGAAGAAAGTGGAATCCAGCCGGGATTCTGATAAATCACATCCTGTTGTTCTTGTTCCCTGACTTGTTTCACAAGGTGGGAGGTTTGGATGAGGTGAAAAGGAGAGCAAACTCACCTGTGCAGCAGTAGGTGACGAAGAGGATGCAGAAGAAGAGCTTGGCGTCCCCGCACGATGTCATGTCTGGTCTCTCTGGGGGCCGACGGGCTGCTCTGTCTTTCCAGCACTTGAAGGAAGTAAGGATACTGCCCGAGAGCGGCCGCGCTGCTCTTTTATGCTCTGAGCCGATGTCCACTCACTTTCCTTTTCATGCCCCTCCCCCAGGCCTCACCCTCCAGTCCTTCGTGAAATGATAAGCTTTCACTAGTCTAAACCTTCCTCTTTCTTCTATACATTTCATCATCTCTTTTTCATTCATTTCCCAGCTCTCCTTGGACCTTGCTCTTCCCAGGGACCAGGAACAGCCCACGCGGTACGCAGGCCCACTTCTCTAATCTCTGCTTCTCTGTGGTTTGACCCCTCATGCAACCATCGGTGCACATTCACACCTCAATGCAATGTGTGGATTATAATAGCTTTCTTTCTATCTGCATTATAAAGGTGAGGAGCATTTTTTACATACTGTATTTTCCTGCTATATTGAGAGAAAGCGCGTCTGACACACTTACCTTAGAAGAGATGAGTCAATGCTTCGCAATAAACCTCATGGCATAACACATTGTGGTGTGATCCATTAAATGTTACTATATAACATTATTATCATTTAAATAAATCCAAACCCAAAGAAGGAAGAAACACTTTGCACAATATTACACAATTTGAATGTACTTCCTTTGAAAAAACATGAAACTACTCCATGGAACCACATTGATTTGAGGGGAAACCACCAGACGCTTACAGCCACTTTCTCTTCCTCTGCCTCGCTGCTCTGCAGAAGTCCACCAAAGCCAAACTGAGTCTTGGTTTATATGAAGTGACCCTTTGTATCTTTTGGGTACTGTCGGTGTCTTTCTCTGGCTGAACCACGTTGCGTCATCAGGCGCACACTTCAGCTTTGTGTACCGGAGGAGTTTCACTTTCTCGTAAATCACCAGCGGGATGCTCGCCCTCTCCGTCTGGATGTATTCTGTCTGTTGGAATTCCCCGGCTGAAGCATTTACAGGAAAGGGAGAGAAATAAATAAAGCTGCACCTGAGGTGTCGCCTGGAAAACCTGTCCAGAATGCGTGTGCGTGTCGTTGCTTATCCACCACTTGAATGACGGGGAAAGGCTCAAATGTCCTTTGTGCAGTATAACAATTACACTGCTACAACTCCAATTATACAAAGTAATTATAGTTCCAGATAAATAATACTGATAGTTTTTGTTTTGGTTGACCTGACGGGACCTAAAGCACAACCACGTGTATTGTGGGGAACTCCACAGGAAGCCTTTCGACATTAAGGTCATTGTTGTTTGACCCCGAGGACGGTTTGTGGCTGCGGGCCCAGAGACGACGTCCTTTAGGAGGTCAAATGGTCAAATGAAGTTGGAGGGACTTCCTGGTATCTTTATACAACAGCTTATTCTCAGAAATGTTGTGAATTAAGATAAACTCATCACTCAGAAATAAGCAGAAATAAGGAGACGGCCGGATCAAGTAATTACACCAAAATCATATAATAATCTAAATGTTTGTCTCTCTGCGTTTTTCGAATGCGACTTATCAAAGCGGCTGCACGTTCCAATGCATTCAATGGAAATACATTCGGCTTTATGCCTCAATGAGTGAATATAACAAAGCATCTTCATCTTATAACTAGTACACTTTAATTACAACATGTCATAAATAATCCAGCCTGATCTCCAAAACCTGTTCGTAAAAATGTGTACGAAAATCTTGAACATACAAATTCGTAGTGATACGTACGAAATAAATACGGACTGCAGCTGATGACGTCGCCCTGTTCAAAGTGAACGGGGACCTGCGCCCCGTAAACACACGTCGTGAAGTCTGACGATGTAAAATAAACGTGTTATTATTGCATTTTTAACGAGAAATCAATGTTAACTTGTTAGAATAGAATACTGACCCTAACCCCCTCAAAAAATCCAACATGGCGGAGAGACGTTCACTCAAGGGGCGTGGTTAACCGCCGCCAGTTCCGATGTATTGTTACGAATTTGTGTGTTCAAGATTTTCGTACACGTTTTGGAGATCACGTTGAAATGTACAGGTTTTGGAGATCACGTTGAAATGATCACAGTTCATCATAAGGTCACACGGTTCATGTGGTCAAATACTCATCTCAGGTAGTAGATGAGTAAACTCATCTACTACCTGACAGGAGAAACAAACTCTTTGGGGAGGAAATTGAGAGAAATCCGCAAAGGACGCGAGCAAAACAAGGACTAGACTGGAGACTTTACTCAAAGCAATATGACAAAGTTTATGGAATTAGACTCCGTCCCCAGGTTTAACATCACACTGTGACAGAATGTTAATGTATACAGTGTTTATATGATTTACACGAGTATAACTGTGTTTGATGCATATTGCATTCATGTCATCTAACATGCAGTTAACCTTAACGTGCCGTACTCTTGGATGGTTGGTTATTTATCCTTCATGCCTCTGGGTCTCCTCTAGTAAACCTGCGTTTGACACAACGCAATGCATCGTGGGTGCTTCCCTCATGCCTGCAGTCTGCAGGAACCCGTCCGTGGGCTCAGGGGTCGGGTCTCTGGGTCCCTTTGTTGCTTTGTCCCCAGGGGGGGGGTCGCAGGTGACCTCAGCATGTCCGCCAAACACTTGATGCTCATGACTGTATAACCATTTCTGATAAAGTGAAGACACCTATGAAATAAACCTATTAAAAATATGCTTTATTCAGAAATATTCATGTGTTTCATCTTTTTATACTTTATACTGCGCAGAGGATGCAGATGTGTTAAAGTTTAAATGAAAGGACGCAACCAGAGGTTCAAAAATAATACAAAACTTTATTTTAAAATCTAAAACAACAAACTGTCTGAGAACAAAGATCATTTTGATACATTTTGCTGAAATACTTTACAGTTTTATGATTATAATAAAAAAAGGAAGTCACCGTTAGTTCTAAACAAATCTGTCTTCTATTTCTCTAACGGAGATGAAACAACTCCACTAAAGGAAAGGAAACACACACACACACACACACACACAGCGCTGCATTTAGTCTCAAACGATGACTCGTCATAAATTACATCTTCTACAGAACATCCTCATCCTCGTCGTCTCTCTTTGCGCTCCGTCCAGAGTCGGCCCTTCTTCACCTCCAGCCACCTTTTCCCAGAATCCTCTCCTCTCCGCGCCTGCAGACAGGAGGAGCCGTGATGAGCCAAAGGGGGAAGCATTTAAAGTGCAACTCATAGAAAGCCGATTTTGTCGATATATTTACCCGATTCAGCGGCGTCCGGCTCTTTTCTCATCCAGGTATTTGATGTAATTCCTCACCCACAACTTATTGTTGGGGTGGGAGACGCACAGCGTCCTTCCGAGCTTTGTGACGAACCTGTCGCAGCAGATGGTGGGCGGGTGAGTGAGATCAGACCTCGGGCATCACATGGCCGCCCAAAGCGAACCATCAAATCAACGTGTGGTGTGAATCACGTGAGCCTGCCGCTGTTTTAACGCCACGTGGACGAGCTCGCCACTCACCCAGTGGCGCTGATGCTGCACCCCTTCCCAGCCTCCTGGATGGTGTAGCTCCGAAGGATCTGGAGCGGCAAGGGCTTCTCGGCCACCGTCAGGCAGCAGTCCACCACCATCTCAGCTGCAGAGAGGAAAAAGGCAGAAGGTTGGGGGGGGGGGGGGTGGAGAAGATTCATTCCACGGCAGCCGTGGGAGATGGAGGAGTCTCACCTGACGCGAAGCCAACACAGAGGAGTCCCAGCAGGAGCAGCGCCGCAGTGGAGGAGGCCATGGCGCTCTGGTTCTTGGTTACAGCTCGGAGCTCGGTGTCTTCAGGGGGGGTGTGAAGGTGCTGCCGTGAGGAGCAGAGCTGCGGGGGTATTTATACGGCTGTGCGGGGAAAGCGAAAGTGTGACGGCTGCCCATTGACTAAAGAAATTGTGGCAGTTTCCAGGCACGCGTCCAACCAATTACCTCTTCACCCCCACCCTGCGGGTGATTTTTTTTTCTGATCTTATTATCAATCATGAGAAATACCTTCCACGCTCCATGGAATCCAAGCACGCATAACGACAATATGTTTGCTCAAACTTATACTCACTTGCTGCCCGCACTGATTGCATTTAACTCGTCTTATCTGTGTGAGAGTTCGTGCACGCGTGTGCATGCGTGTAGGTACCGGTTTGCTATCTGTCGTTGTGCAACTGTTTTCTACTGGAGGCGTCGGTTTTGCCAACGCGTCAATAACGGCGAGAGACACTTTGAGGACATTTCACAGGAAGCTTCTTCGACTAATAGGGGTTTATTTGCTGTTTGTCTCACGGGTGTATGTGCATCACGATGCCTTGTCCTCACACAAAGTACAGGATCAATTTGTTATTTTTTAAATGAATAGTTCAATATTATACGGAATTATAGGGGATTATACGTGATTTGCTTTTTGGTCAAATTCGAGGTGGTAAACTATGGATTTTGTGATCATACAGACCTCGGAGTGATGCCACACAAAGACTCTGTAAGGCTGTCCTGGCTATATTGCATTATATCATCAGCCATATACAATCAATGACCTTGAATGCATGTGTTTGAAGTTTATTCAATTTCAAGGAAACATGTAAAGAAAAGTATGTTTTTCGGCCTCAATAAAATGAAGGGGTTGGAGGGGGAGACAGAAGAAAGGACCTCTATTAGGACCTCTGGAAACGGGCCCAGGGTGTCACAGCCGAGCCGTGTAATGTGAACGGCGTTTACCCGCGTTTACCCGTTAACTTTTCCCAGCTGACTTATTTGTCTGTCAACTTGACCTGGGTGACACTTTCATTCAGCCGCAGGCCTCAAGGCCCCCCACGCATCCATTCAGCTATTGCATCATGCAGCACGCGGGGCTCAGTGACTGTTGATTAACTGCAGCCGGAGGGTAACGATGTGAATCCGCCTGTTTTGGAGCATAACTGAGTAAAGCACGTTCACTTTAATCCGATTAGCAACAAGTGGCTTTTTTTTTTTGCTTTGCGGCTGCGCTCCTAAAAAAAACAGCTTGGAAATAGCAAGCTGGGTTTGACGAAACCTCAGTTGAACCACTGTAAAACCACAACTCAGCAAAGTAACAAAGTTATTCTTGTTTTATGACACAACAACCCTGTATGTCTCTGTCCCTTCTATATAAATGTCAAATGACGTTGACCGCTTTAGCTGCGAGATGCCAACGGGCTAAATAGCGTGATGCTTTCACTGAAAACAGGTTCATGCAGCTGGTCACATGACTGATAAAATGCTGCGCAATATAGTAACTGAAATAAAAACCAGAAGGCAAAGTGAAAAGAGGATGAAAAGCCGCTTAAAGCTGCAGCGTCGGCTGATAATCCGGTCATTGCTTTATTTGTTGGAATTGAAATGAAGGCTTTTTGTATTGAACAAAAAAGGAGCCTCTGTGTCTTTATACAAAAAAATGTGTTTCTTTGTCAATTCATGGATGTGATTTACTGTTCACACACCCGCAGGACAACCGCCCCCTCAGCCGGGCCCGCCGTGCCTCCCCCACTTCTCCCACACGGAAAAAAACGCCCCGAATGGGAGTGTGAAGCAAGTCTGGGGAATCACGTGATTTTCAGGAAAAACAGGGCCACGCTTCTTTTAAAGTGAACGATTTACTCTAAGAGCAGAAAGGTCTGAGGCAAAAAAAAAAGGAGGAGGAAAAAGGGAAGCAAGATGAAAACAAAAAGCCCTCCGTTAGATAAGGAGAACTTATATGTGGGGGGGGTTTCTACAGTCCTGGTAGAGTCAGCGAGTAACTGCAGGCGCAGCAGACAAAATGTTTTTAAGTGTTGGCAGACAAACATCCCTGCAGAGCTGGATGGGAAGCGACACATTTAGAGGAAACGGCAACCGTACTGTAACGCGTCCACTCTCACTTTCCCTGATGTCCAAGCAGTCCCTCACATTCCCACCGCGTCCCCCCCCCGTCACAGGTTGCATTGGATGGTATTCAGGGGTTTCAAACCTTGGACGCCAGTGCTTCCGGTCTGGGACCTCGTTAGAAAACACACACAAATGGTCTCGATTGCTCGAGGGCACTGGAGTAGGGGAGACCGCTTTCTTTCTTCTGGGTGAGAAGCTCCACTGAGAGTAGATGGGGGGGGGGGGGGGGGGGGGGGTCAGGTGCCACGCCAAAAGTTGTAAAGTCAAGGGTAACTTGCGCCCCCCCCCCCCCCACTGGGGACAAAGCAACAAAGGGGACACAGAGACCCAACGCCATCAAAGCTCAGAAGAAGAAACAACCCTAATCTCAACACGAGACCTTTTTTATTAAACAACATTTATGCCGAATTGAAACTTGTCCTGTGTGACTCTCTCTTTCGCTGGAATTGAGATTCTCTGGTATTTTAACTGACCAGAGGAACTGAACCGACCCGCTGTGGGCTGCTGACGTGGATTCCACTGAATGCGCCCATTGTGGGAGTAAACGCAGCCACGGCCATTTACTCTGAATTTTGGGGCATTGGCGAGTGATTGACAGGAGGCAGCATCTCCACAGAAGTGCTTTTAAAGTTTCGTTTTCTCGCATGGCACAGTCACAGTGAGCTTCATGTTCAGGCTTGTATTAGAGGTTTGAAGACATGCATTGCATTGTTGTTCCTTTCCTTTGTGTTTACGCAATCATTTCCATGGTGAGAAATTCCCACCGGCCCCCATGTTGAATATCGGTGAGATGTAGCTGCCGTTTTTGTGTCCTTTTGTGTTTCTGTGGGGTCTTTGCCTGGTTGTTGCAGGTCTTGGTCATTACTAATACATTTTCAAAGGTACTACCTATCATTTTTTTATCAACTTTTGGGATTTTCCTCCTTCTCAGCACTCAAAGACCTGCAGCTTCGTCCTTCTGATGAGATTCATTCCTCACTAAAGCTCTTGTTGGTGGTGGGACTGCTCCGTCAGCAACTTTGGGAAGCCATCCAGATGAAAAGCCACTAAACTATCAATTTGGCTTTAAGGCTGCAGAAATTGAAAGAATCCTGGTGGAAATTGGTGCAATCATGCATTTCTAATTCTACCACCGGATTTGGCCAAACTCACTATTTCAATTAAAAAAATCAGATATGAGGGCTTTAAAGACCCATTTAGATAGAATGCATGTTCAATTTAGTCACCTCAGAAATTAAATCAAGAAATTGTTGCCCAGTTTGACATGTTTTTTTTTTTTTTACATACAACCAATGAAAACTACATAAAGTGGGAAAGTCTGGTTAAAATGTAAAAGGGAAAATGCGTCTAACCAAAGCGATTGTCACAAGATACCTGGAAACTTGTTCTTTTGAAGAACAATTATCATAGAATGACTCACTTTCACCGGCTGAGGTTACTGTGGCGTGTGGTTTGTCACAGGAAACCACACAGTGGCTTTGATTGAATGTGAGTCGATTGAGAACTGCTGTCACCTGGTGCCCCATCGTCGATAATACAACGTTCATGAGCCAGACTTGAGTTTTCTGCAGGAGACATCAGGAAAATCAAGCGTTGTGCTTCCTTGCAAAGAGAGAACTTTTTGCAGTAGAAAAAAAAGCAAAGTGTTATTGTAGGATTTTGCATTGGAACAAATATTGACATTCAAATAATTCTTAATAATAATTACAAAGTTGATTTATTTGTGTGTAAATTATCGCACAATCTCCTGTTGGTTCCAGCAAAAGATAAACATGTGATCCCGTAAACATGTACAATAAAGGCCCGCGTGTCTTCTGGCGTCCCCCCGGCAGGTGTCGGGGTCGCCCTCCGGACGCGGCCTCGCCGCCGGCGGAGAGGAGGATGCTGTTCGGGACGAGCTGGCTTTATTTTGATGTTGAGGAAAGATGGCTACCGGGAGGAAGGAGGGGAAGCAGTGACCACTTCTTGTGGAGTACGGCATCGCGCCGTGACATATGGATATGCGAGGAGTGCCACACGCTACTGACCTATTGGAGGGATTTCGTCGACTTTCTAGCCGCAGGACTCTGCCGCGTACCGGTGAGTGGACCGTGGACACGACGAGGAGACGGCGGAGAGCGGCTGGCTAGCGCCGCTAGCCGCCTAGCACGCTAGTTGGCTAACACGGACAGGAACGTGCATCTCGGGTTAACTGTCCCTTTTCTACCGCAGACGCGTTACGGCCGCCGTTAGCATTCCAGCGGCGACGTCCACGAACACTCTGCCTGTCCAGTATTAATATTGAAAGGCCAAACACCCTTTTTATTTGCAACGTATTTTCTATTGAAGGCCGACGTTCCCGTTCAGCTCGACAGTTGTGGTTGAGATGCTGCGATGCTAGCGCGATCAGCCGGCGCTAGCTAGCTAGCTAGCCAGCTAACGGACACTAATGCCGTTAAGCCAACGTAGCCGGAGGCGTTTCGGTATTTAAACATTTAACGTGTTGTGTTTCCAGCCAGCGCCCCCCACCCCACCCCGCGGCGTCTCCCTAATGCACGTTAAATGGTGACAGGGAGACGCCGCCGGGGTCAGTTACCCGTCGGGGGGGCACAGCTAACGTCTTGTGGCGTCGGCTGGATTGATGACTGAACTTTAACGTTAATTAACGGGGTAAACCGGGGGGGGGCTGCAACGTCACCACAAGTCGTCGCCCGCTCCCATCAACGCCGCAGTGACTGGCGCATTCAGTGCGATTACATCGGCCTCATTTCGTGCCCAGCTGTGCGCCTGATGTGCGACTTGGTCACCTGCGCGTACCCGCCCGCGCGCGAGCCCGCGCGAGCCCGCGCGCGCCCCCCCACTGACCGGGGCATTGTTCGCGGCGACACGGCTGACGGCGCGGACGCCTCACCTACGGACCCGACGGCGGCTCGGCGCGTGCGCCGCTGCCAATGTTGTCACACACTTTTGCGTGTGCG